GCCGACGAGACGGACGCCTTCGCCGACCATCTCCATCGCCAGGCCGTCATCGGTCGCCTTGATGCGTTGGTAGTCGGGGACGAAGTACCAACGCTGCAACGCGTTCTTGCTGACGAAGGCCGGGTTCACGCGGCTGACGTAGCTGTTGATCGGTGCGTCGGCCTTCTCTAGGCCGATGCCGATCAGCTTCATGCGGTAGTCGGCCTCGACCAGCACCTGGGCGAAGTGCGTGTTGGCGGGGACGCCGCCGACGGTGATCTCTTGGTGGCCGAGCGCTTGCTGGAGCTGCCCGGCGATCAGGTTCGGGTTGGGCGAACCGACGCGGGCCAAGAACTGCTGCATCCGGGCGAGGCCTTCCTCGGTCGGGTCGATCGAGCAGTAGATCAGCGGCGAATTGTTCGAAGCCGTTTCCGGACCGAACGCGCGCATCGCCGTGACGAGGTCACGCAGTTCGAGGATCGGCGCGCCGGTCTTGACGCCCTGCGGACGGCCGGCAGGCGTAATGGCCCACGGCTCGGCGGGGCCGGCGATGATCATCTCATTCGTCTCGGGGTAGCAGAAGACAAAGTCGATCCGGGTCAGGCCGGCGAGCTTTTGGATGTCGTCGCTAGGCTGCTGGCCCGCGGCGATCTGCTTGGCGAGTTCGGCTTCGAGCTTGGTGAGCGAGACCTTGCGGAGCTGGCTCGGCTTGGCGAGGTCGCCCTGCAGACGGTTCATCGCTTCGGCGACGCGCTGCCGGGCGAGTTGGCCGCCGGGGTCGGAAACGCTGGCGCGATGGAGCACACCGTTGGCGTCGACGATGACGCCCGAGCCGAGGCCACCGCCGCCACCTCCACCGCCGCCAAGGCCGCCGCCACCACCGCCGCCCATGCCGCCGCCCATACCTCCCCCGCCCATGCCGCCACCCATACCGCCGCCCATCTGGGCGAGGCACGACGGGGCGCACATCAGGAGGGCGACGAGTAGTGCCGAGACGAATCCGCGGCTGAGCTTGGCTTTGGCGAGCGTGCCAAGGCCGAGCGTGCCGAGGCCGAGCGTGTCAGTCGAGTGGGGCAGGGTCATGCGCATGAAAGCGTCCTCGAGCGCGATCGCCGCCGGCGTGGCGGCAAGATTCTAAATAGGGTTCGACGACCGCCAGCGCACCGATTGCGTGGGCGCCGGTAGGGGCCTAAGGGATCGACCTTTCAGGGTAATCGGGCAAATTGGGCAAAGCAAGAAACCACAGGGGTTTGTGGCGAATCCGCCGCCCTCGCTGGCCCGCAGACGCTACGACCGCCACAGCCGCTCCAGACTGGCCGGACGGATGGCAAAAAGTCAACGCAGACGTTGCCGTTTGCCAACCTGTCAGGCCAGCGTGGGCTAGGGTTTCGCGGTCCTCCGTCCGCCACTGCGCCTGCGCGCCACCGCCGGAGTGGGGACCACGGCCCAATCCCCCCGGACTTCCGTGTTCCAGCTCTCCCGCCGATCGCCGAAAGCGTGGCGGGTCGCCCTTGTGGCGGCCCTGCTCACCGGCGGCTGCGCGAGTTTGCCGCGGATCGACCCCTCCGGGCGGCGGCTCTTGGTCTGGCCCGAACGCCAAGCCTCGACCGTTAGTCCCTCGCTGGCGACTACCGGTAATGTCACGGTCCCGCCGGTTTTCGCCGGCGCCGTTCCGCCCCCGACCTTGCCGCCGATGCCGGGCGCTCCTGCCGGGCCGATAACAACAACGGCTCAGTCGCCCGTCGAAGAGCAGCTCACCATCACGCCGAGCCGCGTCCTCGCGCCTGTCGGCAGTGAAGTGATCCTGAAGGCGGGCGTTTGTTATAAGGACGGCTACCTCCGCACCAACCGCCGCATCGAATGGATGCTTGGCCAGGAGGGCGCCGGGCAATTCGTCACCGTCGGCGAACGGGGCGAAATGGACTTTATGCGGCTCCCGTGGGAGCGGCCCAACAAGGTCGATAACTCCTACGTCGTCGGCTACACGACGCCGTTCAACGTCTGCCTACGTCGCGGCACCGACGACACGACGGACGACGTGCAGGTCCGCACCGGCGAGGCGTGGGTCACCGTCTCGAGCGCGAGCGAGGGCGTCAGCTACGTCACCGCCACGGCGCTGGAGACCGGCAACTGGGAGGCCCGCCGCAACACTGCCGCGATCTACTGGGTCGACGCCCAGTGGCAGCTGCCGCCGCCAACGGTGCTACAGCCCGGCCAGGTCGGCACGCTCACGACGACCGTCACCCGCAAGACCGACGGCGCGCCGCTCGAGGGCTGGGTCGTTCGGTACGAAGTCACCCGAGGCGACACGGCGCGGCTTGGCTACGAGTCGGGCCAGCTCTCGGAGGTAACGACCGACAGCAACGGCCGCGCCCAAGTGCAAATCTCGCCGACCGACGATCAACCCGGCACGGCGCAGGTGAAGGTCACCGTGGTCCGCCCCGCGAAGAATGCGCCGATGGCCGCGCCGCGGTTGGAGCTTGGCGGCGGCGAGACGGTGGTCAGCTGGACGCCCACGGCCGTCCAGCCGATCGGCCCGCCGGTCAGCGGCGGCGTCACTTCGCCCCCAATCACGGGAGGCGGATCGCCCAACCCGCCGGCGCCGTTCGAGCCGCCACCGACAGGCGGCGGCGACACGCTCGGCGAGACGACGCCACAGATCGGCCCGCGGGTCGAGCTGGTGTTGCGCCGGGCTTCGACCGGCGCCGTACGAGTCGGCGACCCGATCCCGGTGACAATCGAGCTGCTCAATACGGGCGACGCGCCAACGCAGAACCTGCGCCTCGCCGTCGAGTACGACCGCGGCCTGTCGAATACGAACGACACTGAAGGGAAGTACCGCCTCGAGTACCCGTCGAGCCGCCTTCCTAGCTTGGGGCCCGGCGACTCGAGCACGATCGATCTCGACTTCTCCGCCGTCGAGGTCGGTGAGCAGTGCTACCGTGTCCAAGTGACGGCCGACGGCATGGCTTCGGCCGCCGACCGGCAGTGCGTTACCGTCGAGAGCGAGGCGCCGGCCGCTCGGCCTCAGGTCCGCATTCAGAGCGCTCTCGATGCGGTGGGCGAGGTGGGGCAGCAACTCAGCTACCTCGTGACGGTCTACAACGACGGCTCCGCGCCGGTGGAGGACCTGACAATCGAAGTCGTTGCCGACCGACAGCTTGACGCCGTTCAAGCAACCAGCGGCTCCTCCCCAGCGCCTGGCGGCGTGCGCTGGGAGGGAGAGACGATCCCCGCGGGAGGCAGCATGCAATTCGAGGTTCAATTCGATTGCGAATCGGCGACCGAGTTGGCGAAGGTCACCACCTGGGTTTCGCAGGCGGGCGTCGACCTTGGGCAGAAAACCGACGGCATCGAAATCCGCCCAGCCCGTCCCGCGACGACGCCCGAGACGACCCCCGAGCCGGCGGCGCCGCGTGGCGACCTGGAAGGCGTCCTCAGCTCGACGGCGAACCCCGCCAAGGTCGGCCAGCCGGCGACGCTCAACTTGACGATCACCAACCGCTCCCGCGCCGACCTCGGCAACGTGCAGTACCGGCTGGTGTTCGAAACCAACCGGATCCAGCCCACCGTCCCCGCCGGCGCCCAACAGAACCAGAACACCATCGAGTTCCCCGCCGTTGGCTCGCTCGCGGCCGGCGAGACCTTCCGCATCGCCGTCCCCTACACGCCCGTGCAGCAGGGCCTCACAACGGTGTGGCTAGAAATGCGCAGCGGCGCCGACGGCGCCACGGCGACGGCGACCGAGTCCATCTCGATCAGCCCACGGTAGGATTTCTTAGCGCCTCCGCGCCTTTGCGTGAGACAATCAGCGAAGGTTCACGAAAAGGCGCGGAGGCGCTAAGGATGGATGGTTCGATGGCGCCGGCGACGCTCCGCTGGGTCTTGTTGCGGCACGAGTGCCCTCCGGGTTATCGCGGTGGGTCGCATTGGGACTTGATGCTCGAGCGCGCGGCGGTTGCGGACGAGCGGCGGTTGGCGACGTGGTCGCTGAGCGAGTTGCCAGCTGGTTGGCCGGGCGCGGCGGATGGGGCGTCCCCGGAAGTTGTGGCGAGTGCCCTTGATGATCATCGCGCGGCTTACCTGGAGTACGAGGGCCCGCTCAGCGGCGCCCGGGGGAGCGTGACGCGCGTCACGGGCGGGGTAGTGGTCTGGCGTGAAGCGACCAGACGGCGGGTCGCTGTTGAGCTGCGTGGCGGCCTCTGTGGGGCCATCTTGCTCGAGGGGGACCAAGTGGTGGGGTGGCGGTTGATGTGGCTTCCGATTGGCTCCTAGCGGCTCCTAGAGGCCTTCTAGGCCTTCCTGTGGGAGGGGTCTCCAGACGCCGATGACGCGCACCACGCCGTACTCGGAATGGATGCCGTAATCGGGGTCTGGAGAACCCCTCCCACAGCAAAGACCGCTGCGGCTAATCGCATCGCGAACTCACTCGAAAAGTAGTTGCAAAGGGCGGCGGGGCCCGTATACTCGGCCCGTCGGTCGCCAGATTGGGTTTGAAACCCACGAAAGCGGCCAGCAATCGGCCAGGGTGGGCCGCTGTCTCCGATAGCTGCCCTAACCAGTCCCGGCCGTGCTAACTGGCGAAGCGATCCGTGCGCTCGACGAACGCTACCGACTGACGCTGCCGGCAGAGCTGGCGGAGGCGGTTGGTGGCGGCCCCGTTGCTGGTCAGGGGGCAGAGTGCCTGATTGCTAAAGAACGCCCGGGCTGCCTCAGCCTGTGGCGACGCGACGCTTGGGAAGAGAAGCAGCGGCAGGCTGAGTCGATCGTTAGCTCGAAGCTCGCCACGGGCCGGCTCGACGGCCGCCTCGGCGACGTGCAGCGGCTCGGCAGGTTGCTCTCCACCCGACAACGAACCATCCCCATCGCCGGCCGCGGCCGGATCGTCATCCCAGAAGGATTCCGCGAACTGTTGGGCGTCGAACCCGGAGGTAACGTCTCGGTCGTCGGCGCCGCGGTGTGCGTCGAGCTGTGGCGTCCCGAAGCGTGGGCCGAATGGATCGGCCGCGAGATGCCCGGCTTCCGAGAGTTGTTTGAAGAACTCGCCCGCTAAGCCGCCAGCGGCTTGCCCCCGCCCCACCCAGCCGCAAGCGCTGTCCTTCCTACCAGCCTACCCACCTACCGGTCGAACGGCCTTTCCCAGCTATCTCCGCCACGCCCGAACGGGGCGAACCCGCGTAAATCCACGGCCGCCCGTCAGCGGTTGGGGTGCAAGTCACGACGGATCGACGAGGGGCATCGGATGCCCACCGTTACCGCCCCGTCGGGCGTGGCGTTTTTTGAGATTGAGGGATTTTGACCCCATACGCATNNCTTCATTTAGCCCCCAGTCAATGACCGGGGGCTAATTGCGTATTGGGGATCGAGCGCGCGACAGGGCCAATCACCGCGAGATCGCTTCACCACCGTTTTTGGTGATCATCTTCTTAAGCAGCCCCGGGTCGATATCGAAGGGCTCGAATCGCGCGGATCCATCATAGTACCCGGTGACGAAGCCCTCGCGTTTGTCAGTGCGCAGCTTCGCTAGCGGTTCCTCAAGGTCGACTTCCCAATCATCGGGCTTGGTCCAGAAGACGGCGTGCTCCGGCGCCACTTCGGCGACCATGAGGGTGTTGGAGGTGCCGTCGGTGATGTCACGGTACTCTTCGGCTGGCTGTAGATAGAACTGACGGCCACTGAACTTCTTTTCGATGGGTTGGGTGTCGCCCCTCAACAAAGCTGCGTCGGAACCGATGTAAGCAGGACGCAGATAGCACGTCTTCCCCTGGCGATTACCACGGCAGTATACGTCAGGCGACGACTTCGTTGCGACCTCGAGGTTGTGCTTGCTATTCCAGGGCTCGTCGAGGCGCAGTTCGTTGAAGAGTTTCTGTTGCTCTAGGTACGGAAGGATCAAGACTCTCCATGAATGAAGCGGTTTGCCGTCCTTATCGACGATATTGCTGGGCAGAAAGCCATTTGCCGATTCGTAGTTGAGCATCGCCAAGCCGATAAACTTCAAGTCATTCATCTTCGATGCTTGCTCGGCGTTCTCTTGCGCGGCGTTGATTACCGGCGCGAGGACGTTGGTGGCGAGTTGCTTGACGGCGTCGTCGGTGGCGTCGAGACGGATCGACACCGCGGCGTCGCCAAGCTGTGGTGCGAGCAGATCGGCGGCGTTCTTCGCCGCCGCGGTGTAAGAAGGTTTATTGGCTTCGATCCATGCCACGCCTGTTTGCAAACCCGCCGAGATGGCTTTCGCGGCTGCTTCGCGGGCGGAGGGGTTGGGCGAGTGGATGGATAGCGATGCGCCCGGGTCGCCGCCGAGCCGGACTATCGCCGTGACGCCTTGCACATCGTCGGCGACGAGCGGGCCCGTCAGTTTGTCGTATGGGGGCGGAAGCATCGGCCACAGCTCACGCAGCACCCGCCGCGCGTCGGCGCCGGGGGAGACGATGGCGCTGAGGGCGGCGTTTTCCGATGCGTGGGCGTCGGCCAA